TAGGAGCAGGGAAAGAGGCCACAGGGCTGGAATTTGGGTACTATGGGAAGTGCTCAGGGCTATGGCAGCACACATCATTCCTAAAGATTAGATGGGACCTCGTTTCATCTCAGTGGTCCCCATTCCAGAGAAAATCCAAGGATCATGGAGTCTCTAGAGGATGGTGCATGCTACAAGGGTGCCACAAGGATAAAATAAGACCCCTGCCATCTTGTATACCCAAATGCTATCTTGGGAAAGAGAAGGAAGAGGGTAAGAATCCGAGAAAGACTAAGTCATCTAAACAGCATTACTCAAAATGTGGTCTATGGGCCAGTGCCAGTCCACAAATTATTACTGGTCTGAAGTGAGATAAACACAAGTAAGAATTGGTATTTAGACATTTTTATCACAAACCGCCATTGCCAGGACATCCTAGCATGTGACCAGAGGACTTGTCTTGTTGAACAAGATACAGGCCAGTGCAGATGTATTGAGCGAGCACTGCAAGTGGCTTATGACATGAGTTGCATAGTCGTCATACGCAGGATGACCATGTATTTGATCCAAGATAGAACAGAAAGGTCAACCAATTTTAGAAGTATTAATCTAAGACTTTTGAAACACTTCACCTTTGGATGGGAATAACATGCTGAACAGTTTGAATCAGAGGTTCCAAAGTGTGTTCCTTGGACCAATAATAAGCATCGACTGGGAACTCCTTAGAAATGCAAATTGTAAGTTGCTAGCAGATGTACAGAATCAGAAACCCTGGGGGTGGGCCCAGCAATCTGTGTTTTAACATGCCCTCTAGGTGATTCTGCTGCATGTTTGGAGTTTAAGAACCACGGGTTAGAATGTTTCAAGTCAAAGAATTATGTTCAAGTTGCAGAAAAAGAAACACTATTAATTAAGTGCAAATTATTCTTGCTAGAATGCAGAGTTGGAACCCATGATGATGAGACTAGGTAGAGAAAAAAAAAAAAAAACTGAATTTGCTTTGTATTTCTGAGTGATACACAAGTGAGTAAGGCCAAGATGCTAAAGCTGAATACTTTTAGTGGGTGATCCTTTTTTATCTTCCTCTGAAAGCTTACCCACAGGGCCGTGACTCCACTTTGTAGCATAATTCATTTCCCAGCCCACACCAGCTTGTTGTTGTTTTACCAAAACAGGGTCACAGTATAGGAACAGAAGACTATTTCTCCAGCTTTACTCTCACCACATAATTGCTGGATTTCTGGCTTTCCTACATTCCTACGACTACTACTGTTAATAGTTCAGGAGGCCCCCTTGGCTCTTTTGTGTCATCTGTCCTTTTCCTTCTTTGCTCTCAGCTCCTGGTGCCCCTAGTATGTAACCTTCTCCATGTTTCTGCTCCTCCCAGGCAGGGTTGATGCAGGTGGAGCTTAGAATCTGGCCAACCTGGACATCGGCTATATCACAGCCCAGAAATTCTGTTCCCCACCCAGGGCTCACAGGATCTGCCAAGGCAGTCTTTTTCAGCCCACGTGCATGCAAGTCACCTGGGGCTCTTGCAGTCATGCAGGTCTGAGCCTGCAGGTTTAGGGTGGGCCTGAGGAGCTGCATTTCTCACAAACTCTCAGGTGACACTGACCTTGCCAGTGTGTAGGCAATATTTTGAGAAACAAGGCTTAGATCAGTGATTCTCCTGATTTCACAAGGTCTCCTCCCCAAGTCTTCAACACAGCTGAGGGTGCAGAGTTGTAGGGTGGCCATCTGCCCTCGTTTGACAGGGATTATCCCCAACATCCCGAGTCCTGGGCCAACCCAGATGATTGGTCATCCCAACAGTCCCAAACCACTCTGAACAGCCCTCATCCTTCTCCTCCCTACTCCTTCCCCACCTGACACTTATATCTTGGGCTTCTAGACTCCCTCTTAAGATAACTGCTTTCCCCCCAGGCTCTTCATTTCTCTTCCATACAATACCTTCCCCTTGGGCAGACCTGTCTCCACCAGCCCTAAAGACAGAGCTGCATTTTTCAGCTAGTGAGGCCAGATGTAGGAAGAGCTGCCCATTTGTCTTGGTATGGAAGGTTCCATTTCATATTTCGCCGTAGCTGGTCAGGACTAAGAGGCCCCCCTGAGATCAGTGAGGACCATATTTAGTAGTTAACTGATTTATTTTTACAGAAACTTTCTCATCCTGTCTGGTCTCTGTAGACCAAGCAGGTTTCTCCAGTGCTTGGGAATAATGCCGGCTCTGCTTTGCCTCTTAGCTGATGATGTGGCTATTATCTGGAATCAGGAAAAATCAAAATCTTTCACTCTGGGTCTTGGTGAATACAATGTGTTTTCCAGTATTTCCAGTGGTGCTTTTTACATCGAAGCCATAAATTCTTTTAGGCAAAGCTTCATGCCTCATCATCCTAGAAATACAGCTCTGATTATATCCATCCACAGCTAAAAACCTTCATTAACACTGAATTTACAGCAGAATTATTTCTAAACTTCCTGCATTAGTACAACGTAATGGTTCTCAAAACTTTGCTTTGCACCAGAATGACCTAGAGGGATTGTTGAAATAGATTGTCCGCCCCACCCCTGAGTTTCAGATTCAGTAGGCCTAGGTGGGGGCCCAGGAACTTGCATTTCTAATGAGTTCCCAGATGATACTGGTCCACAGAACTTACTCTGAGGACCACTGCTTTCCATCCACCCACCTAGCTATGGGTTACACTCCAACACCAAGCTACACCACATAAATTCAAAGACAACCCTTTATTCCTTGTTCATATTGCATGTTCTCCTACTCTGTGCCTTTGTTTTGTTTCATTCATTTATTTACTCACTGTCTTAGTCCACTTAGGCTACTATAACCAAACACCACACCTGGGTGGCTTAAACAACAGACGTTTATTGTCACAGTTCTGGAAGCTGGAAAGTACAAGATCAAGGTACCTGTAGATTTAGCTCTTGGTGAGAGCCCTCTTCTTGGCTGGTAGATGGCTGCCTTCTCACTGTATCATCACATGGTGGAGAGAGAACATGCTGGTGTCTCCTCCTTTTCTTGTAAGGGCTAATTCCATCATGGGGCTTTGCCCTCATGGCCTCATATAAACCTAATTACCTACTAAAGACCCCCCACCTCCTAATACTACCACATTAGGAGATGGGATTTCAGCATATGGATTTTGGGGGGACACAGACATTCAGTCCACAAAATTCATGGATTCGTTCACTCAATCAATGATTCATTGTTTTATAACTTCCCCCTTTTTGTTGACATATAATTGGCAATAAAAATTATAAAGACTTAAGGTTTATAATATGATTTTTTGTATATACTTTATTGAACATTTCTTTTTAAAGACGACACAACTGATCCTGTCAAATGCTCTCATGGAGTTTATGGTATAAGGGAAGAGAGAAAAAATTTACCCTTTTCATTAACAGAGTGCTTCAGGGTTCCCAAAGAGATCTCACATGCAAGCTCCCCTTTAGTCTTTTCCAGACCCCTGAAAGATCAATGAGGCAGAGGTTATTTTACACATTTCACAGATAAGGAAATTGAAGGCCAGGGAGTATTTCAACCGAGGTATTGCTAACCCAGGTCTTTCCAGTTCCAGGTTAATGGTTTTTTTTCAACCAAACATGCTACTTCAGTCTTGGTTCACTGTATTCCCCTCTCACTGTTGCCCAAATTGTACCTCTTCTTTAAAGCCTAATCTGTCACACCTCCAGCATGAAGCCTTCCATGATAACCATAATTAAAATAATTTATCCTTCTAATAAACAAAGACAATACTTTGTCTCTCTACTGGCACCTAAATATATAATATTTATATATATTTTTATAATATATAATTATAACATAATATATTATATATTTATAATATACATAACTATATATATAACATATATAATATATTTATATATTTATTATATATATATACTGGCATTTAAATATATATATTATATATATATATATATATAATATATATATATATATCTCCCAATCTCCATGAGAATAGGATCACTCTCCTTTTTGTTTCCCATAACACTCAGCTCTCACCTTATAGTAGATGCTTACTAAGCTCTAAGAAATGAAAAAAGAATGAAGTTTGGAGAGATGAAAATCCCACCTACTTTCTGAATCAATGGTTATATTCATTAGATAATTAATGAAGAATAATATATTTGAAGAGAAAGCAGAGTTCTGCGTTATCTCTTTATTTTCTATCTTCCATAATGGTGATAGGGAGGACTAGCACTCAAGAAGTGAGTTTTCCTGTTCTAACATTTTGCCTTCATAACGTAACAGATAAATACTATTGCTCTTGTTTTCAAGTGGAGATCCTAAAGCCCAGAATTGTTTAGACATTTCCCCAAATTCTGACACTGGTGGCAAGTTAGAAAGGGGACTATACTCAATTCTATTTAACCTCATTGGCAATATGAACACATGAAATCACCTCCAGTTATACTATGACAACAATAAATTGTCCAGCATTTATCTACACAGCAAATTAATTCATTGTATAGTAATAATCTTGAGGTCATCCTTTAGTAACATAATCTCTCACCTTATTATTGACTTGTCATTGATTCACCATTTGCTGGTTGAATCTTTTGATCCATTTCTGCAAAAAGGGAAAGGAATTTCACTTTACCGTGTGACCAGTCATCACTAATTGTGAAATGCTGGCCTGTGACTTAGACAGTGAATCTGTCTTAACACGTGGTATTGTGTTATAACAGAACCAGCCTATTAGGAAAGAGAGTGGGAAAGGTTTGTGGTAAATCCTGGAACAAAAAGTGGGGGTGGGGAAGATAGATCCAGTTCCATGAATAACCCCAAAAGAAACAATAACTTTAGCAACAATGTAAAGCTCATACATTAAAGCAATTTGTTACACATTTACCATATCATAGAGCTGAGAATTCTTGGAGAGTTTAAAGGACATTGCCACCAACATCACATGGCCTTGACAGAGAGGCAGGTAAGAGACAGCATTCAGGAAAGCGCTAACTCACCTACCAGGGTTCTGCAGCCGGTCTTATAAGAGCAGAGACCTGCAACATCCTAAAAACCAGACAGACACATGAAAGGTGATCTTTCTCACAAATGTATGAAATACCAATTTGCATCCTCTCCTCTTGTATGTACTGCAATATTCTACCTGACAAACACCTGTTAATTTTTAATTGGCAAGGGTTATTTCAAGGTCTTAATCATTTCATTAGCTATTAAGACAGCTAACAGTAAATCTTGGCATCTACTGGATTTTTTTTTTTTTTTTTTTTTTTGCTTACAATTTCAATGAAACTGTTTAAAGGGATGAGGAAATTTTATAAACATCTTCTGAACTTTCTGGATCTGCCAGGTGGAAAAAAGTTTCAAAGCACATTTTCAGGCCCTCTGGGGTGTTCAATTCAGAAAAATTAAGTTACAACAAATGTCCTATTTCATAAACAGCTTTCTATCATTATTCAAACTGTCAGATCAGGGAGCTGGTAAAAAGTCATTCATCCAGAGAAGGGTAAAAATTGGGGAAAGAGATAACTATTTTCTCAAATTCACTGATGATGATGTTAATACAATATCGGCTCCAATGGGCAGTTTCAATCACACTTCTCCTCAAGATAAAATAAAAACATTTCAGACATTTGATTATCACTGCTTCTTAGAAAGAGTTCAGAAGCTCCCCCTCAGCCATTGATTCTTGGTTCCTAGACATCTTCGCACTGGGGAATTCTTAGTAAGGACGAAGATCTATATATACAAACAAAACCTGTTCCTAACGTGTGTGCCTATCAGGGGACAGGCAGGAGGGAATTATCATTTTGTCTAGTCACTCAGGCTCTAAAATGATGAGGTTTCTTGGTAAAATAACAACAATACTACTAGATCATGCTTACATACTGAACTTTCAGACAATGTACTAAATACATTTTAATCGTATTTAATCCTCACAACCACCCTATGAGATAAGTACTATAATTATCCTCATTTTATAGGATAAGCTGAGAAACTTAGAAACACAAGTTCAACAACCTGCCCAAGGTCACACACCTAGTAGGCAATGACACAGGCAGTCTGGCTCCAGAGCCCGGGCTCTTACCCAATATACTCTATTGCTTTTTTATGTATAAAAGGTAGTATTTTTTATATGAAGCATGACAAATGTGTGTGTGTGTTTGTGTGTATGAAACACAATTATTAAAATTTTGAGAAAATGAAAACTGGAAGAAAAGGAAGAAGTGCTACGAACTTCATATAATTGTCATGAGCCTTTGGGGATATTTGGTTTCAATCATATTTATATGCATATTTTTTATTTGTTGTAGTTCTAGGATTTTGATTTTTTTATCTTATTATATCAGAAGTATTTCCTATGTTGTTAACAGTGTTCATGATGCTCATTTTTAATACCTGCGTAATATTACATAGACTGGGTATATTACTTACTTGACAAGTCTCCAGCTGTTAGCTATTTAGGTTGTTTCCAGCAGCCCAGGGCAGGTTCAAGTGTGGGTTGTGTAGCCAGAAAGCCTGGTTCAAATGTCTGTTTCTCTACTCACCAGCTACATATTCTTCAGCAAGCTACTCGAACTCTCAGTGTTTCAGTTTTCTCATCTGTAAAATGAGGATATTAGTAGTAACTACCTCCATCTACTTGGGTTTCTGGGAGGATAGACTGCATTAATTGTAGTAAAGCACTTAAAACATTGTACAGTTATCAGTATCGTGAGTGAGTCTATAGTAAACATCTTTATACATAAAACAATTCATGTTAAAAAAATAATTTCCTTAATAGATATTCCCAGACATAAGGCTACCAGGTCAAAAGATAGGAATCTTGTTTGTTCTAATATCTGATTTGCATTGCCAAAGAGTTTCCAAAAAAGTATTATATAGATTTATATGCCACTAGTTATGGAAAAAGAAATGACTTTCCAGTGTACTTTGCTGACTTTGGGTATTAATATTAAATCTTCTATTGCTTTGCCTTCCACTTCAACAATCTGTTCTTCAGCTGTTTCTAGTTTGCCCTTAAACCCATCCACTGAGTTAGTTTCTGCCAGTTTGTGTCTCAGTTCCAGAATTTCCATTTGATTTTTATCATAGTTACCAATAATATGCCAAAATTCCCCCATCTTCTCATCTAATTTTGTTAATTTATTAATCACAGATATTTTAAAGTTTATTATATGGTCTATAGGTGTGACTGGTAATTTTATTGCCAGACATTGTGTAATGAAAAATTGTAGAGATAATTTGAGCCTCTGGGTGATCACATCTTTGTCAAGTGGGGTTTTACCTTAGCTTCTAACAGGTAGTTATGTAAGATCCTATATAAGAGAGCTCTTTTGGATTCCTGGCTCCCTGGGTTCTCTGCTTCTCAAATCCTCTCTGTCCTGAATCTGTGATGCTTTTAAACAAATACTTGCTAGATTTTATACAGGTTTTCCACTTTCTCTCAGAGGATAAGTTGATCTAAATGAAAATAATCCGTAACAGCTGGGAATGTAAATCCTTAACATTAATTTTAAAATAATTGATTAAACCTAAATACAGCTTATTTTTGTTTTAGTGTATATTCAATTGATTATTAGTAAGGCTGAATGTTCTTACTTTTTTGCAAATATATTTCATCTTTTGTGAAATGTGATTTTAGTGTTATCTCGTATATTGGCTAAATATGATTCTATTTTTATCTCATGTATTAGTTCTCAGCTGTGGAGTTTGTATGAGCTTCTGTTAATGATTATTGACCCTTTTGTAATGTTCAAATAATTGTACCTTGCCTACTGCTTGTTTGTTATTGCTGTCTTAATATAACCAAATCTATTTTATCTTTACTTTGCGATTTGTTACAGTATTTTAAGTCTATAAAAACAAATTCTTTAGATTTCCTACAGTTTGAGTTTTGCTATTTTATTATATGTGTATTATGAATATATAAATTGATTTTTTCAGTTAATCAGTCCATATCTTATAAAATATTTTCCCTTCCCACTGATTTGTGTTCTGACATTATCAAATATTCCATTATTATATAAAATATGATTTATTTTGACCACATATTTTGCCTCATTAATTTATTTTGGTGCCAGTATCACATGGTTTTAATTATTATAACTTTATAATATATTTTAATATTTGATATGACTAGTCTGTCCTCATTACTTTTCTTCCTCAGAACTGATTTCTACTATTCTTGCCTACTTTCTTTTCCAGATTTATGTTAAAATCAAGTTCCTCTCACTGCTACCTCAAAATGTGAAAAACAAAAGAGGCTTTATTACTAGATTTCCCATTATATCTATACTTTGGTTAGAATTAACAATTTTTTTAGATTTATTTATTTTAGACGGAGAGAGAGGGAGGGGCAAAGGGAACTGGGAGAGAGAATCTCAGGCAGACTCCCTGCTGAGTGCAGAGCCTGATTCGGGGCTTGATCTCATGACCCACAGATCATAATCTGATCATGACCTGAGCTGAAACCAAGAGTGGGACACTTAATTTTTAAGTGCCACCCAGGTGCCCCAAGAATTTACAATTTTAAAATGTTATTTCTTAAACCAGAAACCAATCTTTTGACTAATTTAATATTTTTATAGCTCTCAAAAAGTTTCATTTAGATAGGTAACATATTTCCATTTAAACTCAGTTTTATATATTTTGTTGCTCTTGTAAAATAAATCTTTTAGAGGTTTATGTTTAAGCTAATGGTTGCTAATATTTAGAAATATTACTGATTTATGTTAATAGTCATATGCCTGCCAATATTTTCCTAATTTATTGTCTATTCATACTTTTATACACTTCTTTGGGTTTTCAAGATATAAAAATATTTTTCCAGTCATAATGATTTTTTTCCAAAATATTTTTGGAATAATAATATAAATAAATATATATATTTCCAAAATATTTTTCCAGTCATTCTTTATAGTTCTTCTTTCTTTATTACTTTTAAAAAAATATTTTATTTATTTATTTTATTTATTTGAGAGAGAGAGAGACAGCACAAATGGGGCAGGGAGAGCAGAAGGAGAGGGAGAAGCAGACTCCTTGGGGAGCAGGGAGCCCAACTAAGGGCTCGATTGGAACACCGGGACTATGGCCTGAGCAGAAGGCAGATGCTTAGCCAACTGAGCCACCCAGCTGCCCCCAAGTCTTTTTCTTTAGTGTTTTATTATATTGATAAGGGCTTTAAAAATGTTTAATAACATTATTATGGCAGAACCATTATCCCAACTTTTACCCCATCCTTGCTTTTAAACATGTATATTTCTAGTTTTTTAAAATTAATCTTAATATTGACTACTAGTTAAAAATATTTATTATGCTAAAAATAGTTTATTTTTTCTTCTTATCTTTTTATCACGAACAAGTATTAAATTTTATCTAACACTTTACAAACAATCTATGAAAATAATCATTTACTTCTTATTTAATGTACCAATATGAAATATTTCACTAGTTTAGTTTCTAATTTTGTAAACTTTTGCATTGCTTGGGTATACATTATTTTTATTATTTTGCTGTGATGAGCTCTACTGACTTTTTAAAAAGTACATTAAATTGTATTAGGTTTAAGCTTATTTAAGGCATTATTTTTTCAGTGTCATTATCCCTTTACTAATATTATAATAACAATAATTATAAAATAGTCCTTTTTGTCTTATTTATGTTTTTTTGAAAAAATTCTGCTTGTGACCATGTTAGGCTGCAAAATCTTTGCTCTTTTAAAAAGTATTTCTCTGTCCTTTTTCTTTAAATATGACTCTTTTAAGCACCACCAAATCATAAGACCTTCATTTTAATTTAATGTGAAGATCTTTCCATTTGAATAGAGAAATTTAAGACATTTATACTTGTCATAGTTTTTAGCTTGACTGTATTTATTTTATACTTTCTTTTCAATAATTCCTTATTGTTTCCTTTCCATTTTGTCTTTGAACTGTTTTATCTTCTACAATTATTTATAAAATAGATATTCTTCTTCCCATTCAACTAGTATCTATATTAAATTTTTCACAACTACCCTTAAATGTATTCTTAGCTAATGATTTAAAAATAAAGCAACAGGGGCACCTGGGTGGCTCAGTTGATTAAATGTCTCAGGTCAAGATCTCATGGGTCATGAGTTTGAGCCCTGCATTAGGCTCCCTGGTCAGTGGGGAGTCTGCCTGAGATTCTCCCCCTCTGCCTGCCCCCGCCCCCGTTCTCCTGCCATGTGGTCTCTCTCTAAGAAAAAAATAAATAAGCTTTCGTTTTCTGCATCTCCTCTTTCCACATTTTGGTTATTAGTTACAGACTCTTCTTTTAAAATTTAAAAAAACAAAGAAACAAACAAAAGCCTACTTTTTGGATTAATTTATTAGAAACATTGCTTCCTTAGAAGAAAAACATCTAGTCATTAATATCAATTCTTAATTCATTTCAATTTTCCCTATATTTTATTCCTTTATTACTTCATCTTGACCCTGAGTGCTTAGTTAGCCCTAAGCTTTTTTCCTGGAATTTTCTATTTTTGATTTTTTAAATATATCTGACCACTTAGTGATCTAAACAGTATCTCTTTGCAACTCTACTCTAAGTTGTTATATCTTCTGACACTTTCCTGATGTAAAAATGTTCTTCTGTTGCTTTTATGTATGAGCCAATAATCAGGCAGGCATAAAACTTAAAGAATCAAACTTGTTTTGCTTAAAATTATGTAAGAAATTGCACTTTGGTCTGAAAAATGTTCTTGTTCTGTAAAAGAAATATGAAGACAATCTACAAAAATATGTATCTGTTTTCTTAAATACTTGAAGGAATTTTGTTTGTTCTAGAAATTTAAAAATTTACCAGCCTATGACTAGGCATTTATTTCTATCCCTTAATTTTGCTCAAAATTACAATATTACTGCAGTTTTTGTATAAAGAAAGTTTTCTTCTGTCATAAACTTTGATTTTTACTTCTAATCCACTTGCTCTATTTTCAGGGGAACACCCATTATTTTATTCATAAATATAAGAAATGTTTATCTAATCCTAATAGCATATGCAATGTGTTAAGCCCTCTGTTGGGGGGTAGGGTTATAATAATAAGATGTTTATTGCTCTCAAGGAGCGTATTTTCTAAGTTAGACCTCCATAATTTGTCTATCCAATTTCCTCTTACCCTTTTAGCTTTTATTCATTTTCTTTGGATGTTTAGACCAGTTATGAAGTTTTTCTTCTGTATCCCTAATTTCTATTTCTGCAAAACAGAAATTTCACCTTCTGAATTTTTCATTTAGTCACAATCTATTCTTATTTTTACCTGTTCTTGTTTAATTAAAAACAATATAGTCCCTCCTGCTATATCGTTATAATTGCATTCCTAAAAAGCCTCATATTATCAGAAGGTTATTATAAAAACAATTATTTCAAGGAGAAAAGGGGTTGGGGCTAAGTAGTTTCAAATGCACAATAATAAGATAATTTTACTACCGTAATTTCAATAATAATACGTGCTTTTATATTTCTAAGTGTTTTTAACTCAAATTTTAACTAATAAATTGGTCTATCAAAACAAGTAAATATGATTCTCAATATACCAATCAAGTAATGTAAGACTTACAATGTAAAGTTAAATCAGA